GTTTCTCAATTATGTCTCCTACTTTGACATCTGGAGTGCTTTGCTTAAAGGTAAAATGCTTAAGAGCATGCGCTGAACGTGCTTCGAACCTCGTTTTATCAATGATAGGCGCAACTTTCGCAACTTTATATGATTGAGAGACTTGACTCATTTCATCTTCATATAAGACTCGGCATAACGTTCCAGCAGAACATAACATTTCTGTATTGTATATTGAAAGCGTTTGTTGGGCCAAGTCAATCGATTCACGCTCGACCTATAGACATAATAATTATAATAAACTTTACACTATTTATGATGAGCATAATAATTATACATACTGTCGGTATGACGCGAGCTGCTAAATTTACGGAATAACCGGTTGTTTGATGTGTTCTAAAGCCAATGAAGATATTTCCTTGTTCTGGAAATGGTAGTAAATCCTTAAAAACACTAAAAGAAAAGTCTTCGTTGTCGAAAAGATTATTTATTGTAAAATACTACATAAGAGAGTGAAAGTAAGAGTGATTTTAGGATCCGTGATCATTTCATAAGTAATATACTCTATAAAATTCCAAAAACAAAGCTTTACCTTGTGATAGGATGTTGATTCTTTATATTCAGGAAGAATGATCTGAATGGCAGTTTGACCTGGAGGTTTTTTTTTTTATCAACCTCTCCATTTCGGAGGAAAAATCGTCATCAATTTTAACTTTTAGATTTCCACTGGCGATTTTTACGCGTACTGACGCACGTTTCTTTAAGCAATTGCTAAGTGATATTGTTCCGGGAGGGATAACAGTCTTATAAGCGTCAAATTTAACGCTACACACAACGACCGATTCAAGTTTAAACATTTTATTTGGAGATTCTTTGTCTATGTCATATTTAATTGTAATAGATCGAGAAAGACCAATAATTTCTTTCGAAATACAAATCACGCAATCATCATTAAAGTAAACAGAAATTTCACAAAGATTTGCCGTAAATCCCTGTAATTATATAAGCTAATATATTATAAAAATTACATTCGCATAATCGTTAAGATGAAGAATCATACCAGAGCAGTTGCTAAAAAACGGCCGAGCTCGTCTAAGTCTGGAAACTGAATAAATGAACTAAATTAGGCATAAATCTGAATTTTTTTTATTTTTTTTAACGAAAGTTAGAAGTATTGATACCTTCAAGG